TGACAAAGTTTTACACTTGTATACTGTTATGCATATCTGACAGGAGTATAAATTTGTGCAGTCTTCCTGGAAAACAGGTTTGCAATATTTATCATGAAGCTTAGAGATGCTTATATCCTCTGATCCAGTGTTTTCACTTTTTTTTGAGTCAATCCTAAATACATAATCCAAAATACAGATAATAATATATGTAGATTTTTCATCACAAACTTTCAACTGAAAAAGAAAACTAAACTTTCAAACAGGTTCATGCAATGATAGGAAAATTAAATAAATTAAGGTTTATATGCTAGAATATAATAAAGCCATTAAAAATTACATATCCTGGGCTGGGGGGTATAGCTCAGGTTGAAATTTTTGCTTAATATGCTCAAGGCCCTGGATTTGATCTCTAGAACTGAAAAAAAGATATTCACATTTTGAGACTCCCCCCCCCTTTTTTTTTGGTACCAGGGATAGAACTTGGGTCCTTGCATTTGTGAGGCAGGTGCCGGACCCACTGAGCTAAATTCCCAGCCCTGTTGAGACTTCCAATGTAAATTGCTGTGCAGGAGAAAAACCCAATAAGGATGCACAATACAATTAAATATTGACCATGAGTTCAAATCTGCCAAAATTAAACATGATGTAAGGATTAGAAAACAATTTTAGTAAAAATACCCATGTGGATTATTTCTGCTTGGAAAATTCAAGCATGATTTGATAATTTGTTGAAGTCTCATAATTGAGTTTGAATTAGGGCCAGATAATAGATTTTTGGCTATTTAAAATTTATTTTCCTTTTCTCCTACTGCATCTGCTAATATTCACTTTCTAATGTAATAATAATCTTTGGCTTATGGAACAAAATTCAAACTATAATTTATATTTCAAATCTTGACCATGTTTTTTTTTTTTTTGGAGACAGGGTCTCACTATGTAGTCGAGACTGACCTGGAACTCACTATGTAGCCCAGGCTGGTCTCAAACTCACAGCGATCCTCCTGCCTCAGCCTCCTGACTGCTGGGATTACAGGTGTGCGCCATCACACCCAGCTAATATGCTATTTCTTGATCTAGGTGGAATATACATACATCAGTGGTTTCTTTGGGGAGGATGCTCGGCCCTGAATACTGGGCTTATGTACTGTACGGCTTGCACTGTACCAGTGAGCCCAGTGTATTACTTTGTGAAAAGCATTACACTAATGATTTGTGTACTTTCTGTATTTTATACTTCAATCAAGTTATTATTATTTTTGCTGCTAGTCCTGGATGGGTAATCCCTCTTCTAGAAGCCCCCCCTTTCCTTGGAGAGTGCCCTGCAAATCCAGCATCAGGCTGACACTTCTCCCCACCGTCTGTGCAAAGCTTCTCCCCTTTGTACCATCCAAAAGTTAGTTGTGATTTATATGCCATTATTTAGACTCCACTTTTTCTATTTACTTATTTTTTTCAGAAAAGGTCTTGCTATGTAGTTCAGGCTGGTCTTAAACTTGGTGTATACCAGGCTGGCCCTGAACTTGAGATGATCCTCCTGTGTCAGCCTCCTGAGAGCTGAAATTACAGATGTGCGTCACCAGGCCGGGCTCAACTCCGCATGTCTTAAAATATTCAATCTGGCACGTGATCGATGCAGTTTTGTAAAACAATTATGTATCGCTTGATCTCAAAAGTTAACTTATATTTGAAGAAAAAATATTACTATTTGGGAGATTCTAAACAGTATCTTTTATTTATTCAAATCAAAGAAAGGATCATATAAAAATTTTATTATGCCAATGAGTCCTTCTCAAAGGAAAGAATTCAACCTGATGTGTGTTTAGGACTGTTCTTTCAGGGCCTTTCCTTTGCTACACAGGACTGTCCCAATCATAACTCAGAAAAACCACAGCTTCTCTGACAAAATCTGTGCACAACACCTCATTTTCAGATGTACGAACAAAAAGTGAGATAAATAACATAAAAAAAAAGTTTAACTTATTATTTAATGCAAGCCAGCCCACTGGAGGAAAATACTGATGAGGAAAAAAAAGAAAGGAAGGAATAAAGCCACCACAGAGAACCACAACACATTATAAGTACACAAAGGTGGCCAGAACTATCTTATTTATTACAAAGATACACTGTGAAGAACAAACCCGACTGTTTACGGAAGCCTGTAATGGTACATGCCAAAATGTACAGTACTATACAGAAAAGTGCATTGTCACAACAGAATAACAAAACACGTTTTTCTTCCAGAACTGGAACAGCAGCCCCTCTTATTTTCACCTCAGAAGGGAGGGGTTGAAATGGGAAGAGACAGGGCAGAGCATGGGTGAAACTGATGGCAGGTGCAGTAGGTGAGCTGGGTGTGGACGGGGGGACTGGGTCACTGCTGGGTGAGAAAGGCACGACCACATCTACGAGGACAATGAGACAGTCTGACAGGGATGCAGAGCGTGGGGATGGAGAAGATGTGGGGAGAGAATGAAGAAAGTTTCAAAGCACTCAGGTGGGCAGCAAGGAAGAGGAAGGCAGGGCACAGAATGGGGCAACAGTACAAGAGCAAGGCTAGACTCCTCTAAATAGAAAGGCACTTTCACATGTACATACTACAGATGTACATTGACACAATTAGGTGACAGTCACAAGCAGGAAGCTACCAGTACTGCAAATGATCAAAATGACAGGAAAGGACAATACTGATTTAATTACGTGGGCAGGAGTTACCTTAAGTACGCAGGAAAAATAATCTTTCCTGTTACACAGCCACTTACTATACTTTAAATATCTATAATAACCATCACACTACACATTGAACTTGCATGAATGCTCTAACGGGGGCATTCACAAATGCACAGTTTATATACTTTTCTTTTACTAAACGGCTTCTAAGGTAAGCATTATGGAACCCAGTACAATTATTTAAACATACAAAATTCCCTACGTAATTTAAAGTTACAGATATCCATCTCGATTATACCGTGTAGACTATGTTTTTTTTTTTTTTTTAAAGAAAGTATACTAGGGTAAGTGAAAGCTTACATTCCAGCTAATTCACCCCTGTTTCCAACTCACCCAGAACAAAGCCTGGTGCTCCAGCCCAGCTAGAGGTTGAGTTCTCAGCTCAGGGGACGAGCTGGCATAGAAGGGCTCTGTACAGGATTAGAGCCTTCAGTTCTAAGCTGCCCCATGTCTCAGGGCATCTGTGGTGTATAATTAAAAGCAAGACTGAGTCCCACATGCGCTTCCTGCACTCATAGCCTTTAACTGCTGTGGTCAGGAGTAAATAAGTACTGACCCAAATCTGAAGTCTTCTAACCCCCTGTACAGACTCATAGTTTAATTTTATAAACACATTTTGGGAATGGCAAAAATATCATGACAGAAAACTATTAAAGGACATAATTTGATCCTTAGAGCTTTAGAGCCATTGATATGATCATGATTGTAGATCAAGCGGGACCCTGCTGTAGCTTATTCTATGGATGGGTCAAGGGGCACCAAAGTCAGATTACCTCTTGTGAAAACTCGTAAAACTGTTGAACAATGGTGTTGACACTGAACACAAACATGGAGCTCTACAAAGTCCACTCAACAGACTGAAATAGCTTTCATAACATTCATCAGAAAATGTAAACTAAGTACTTTTCTTTTCTATCCTAATAACCCACTCCCCATACCCCTAACTCAAGCCAAAAGGGTGCTGGATAAAATCTACTTCAGTGAGTTCTATGGATTGGGACATGAACATACAATGATATCAGCTGTGAATATGTATTCTGGTGTAGGTAGAGTCAGACAGTATTTGTAGAACCATAATTTACCCATTTTCGAAATGACACTCTCCTTAAACTGCAGTGAAAACCACTAAGATCCTTGAAATGAGGACATGACCTTTCCAAGACTCTTGTTTCTCCTCTTCCTCTCCCGTTCCCCTGCTTGCCCTCCATGGGCTGCGCCTGAGGCCCTCAAGGCTGTATACCTGGTGAAACTTCTCAGTTGCTGCAGCTTTGCATGAGCTGTCACGGGTATTATCTTCAATACTTGTGAAGTGGCTAGCTGGTCTCATCCCTGGAATCTGAAGACTTACTAAACAAAGTAAGGATAGGCAAGTCCTTACTGAGTCCTTAATGAGAGGTCATACCCTTTGCTTGTAGTTTGGTGGGGGCGGAATCTGGAGTTGAAACGGGAGTATAGGAAGAAAAAATGTACTGTCACGTAGGGAGGGGAGCATATTAGCAGCTGTTTCCTGAAAGAAGGAACAGCCTCTGAGGGTCGACAGAAGCCATGTCCTCCATCATCCAAGACAGCAGAGACCTGATTTGGGGGCCAGAAGGCCAATCAGTGGTCCATAACAGGTGGAAACACCAAAAAATGAGGACATCATGGGGAGGATTACCAGGAAGGTATCTGAACAAACAGCTTGCAGGAGTAAGATCTAAAAAGCAGAGGTGAAAGTTTGTAAAGAGCATTTAAAAACAGATTCAAAACACCTCTCTGCCTTTTTCCCTGTCTTCTGTTAACATCTTACTTTTCCATCAAAGAAGGAAAATGGGTTTAAGGACTCTTATTTTATTTTTTGGTACCAGGGACTGAACTTGGGTCCTTGTGCTTGCGAGGCAAGCAGCAGAACCACTGAGCTAAATCCCTGGCCCAACAACTCTTATTTTAAAGAATTGGAGATTAGAAAAATTTAATCTTCCTAGAGAATTTGGGGATGACTATTTATAAGGGTTAGAGATAATTCAAAGGTCAGTCTGGCTGATGCTCAAAAGGGCAAAATGACCACTGAACTCAAGAGAAATAGACAGGGGTTGATGCTGAGCTGGGCCTCTTTTTGAAAATGTCCAAAAAACAATGGTTCTGAAGATAAGAAGTTTAAGACTTTACTGTATCTGGAAATACATGGGTGTGTGTGGGGGGAGAACACTATACAGTTCACTGATAAAATTAGGCCACAGGCAGGCGTGACTTTGGTTTTGAGACAGGGTCTCACTATGTAGTTAAGATTGACCTGGAACTCACTGTGTAGCCCAGGCTGGTCTTGTACTCACAGCAATCCTCCTGCCCCAGCCTCCGGAATGCTGGGATTATAGGAGGAATACATATTCCTTCATCCAGAAGTTCAGTGATGGCACATATAAAAAAGTTTATATGTCTACAGATTTTATCAACTGATGCCGGTAGGACGGTGATTATTTGTACCTTAGTAAAAGCAAATGCATTCAAAACAACTTTAGGGGCACTAGAGGTGGAGTGTCTGCTTAGAATGCCCCAAACCATCCAGCCCCCTAAAAACAAAACCAAAAACATTTTTTAAGAGCATAGAAACAGTAAAATATGAGCTAAAGAAAAATTGTCTATGGGCATAGAAGCCAGAGAGGTTCTACAATTGAGCATAATTGACTATGTGAGTTATATAGAGACCACATGCTAAAAAAGTGAAAAAATAAAGGAAAAGAAGAGTCATAGTTCCCAGGTACAAAACTGAGAGGAAATTATCCTGAAACCATGAGGTAATCTTCCTATGATGGTCCTTCATGGCTTTTACTCAAGTACCATAGCCAGTTCTGGATTGGCTCAAAAGGAGAAATGGAGAGGAGAACTGGAGTTTCAAATGTAGGCTCATCGAATCTGTGCGGTGTATTACATGAAACCATGGTAATTTAGTCTGAGAACACTGACTGGATCAAGGACTCATGTCTTGTATGCTTCCCACCGAGGAAAACAGGGATTTCAGGGAGATGAAAAGTAGTCTCTAGGCAGTTAGAACAAAACTCTGCAGGAGTTGGTGGTGTAACCACAAAGTCTGTGGACTGTCCTAGTCCTTTGTAAACACAGGGGGTGGACTTGGAAATCTCCAGGGCCTGATGATGGTTATGGATAGGGTAACATCAGTAGCTTTGGACTTGATGTCTCCCTCTTCTTTCTTGGTTCAAGTCAAGCAACACTGGGTTCTAACCTGGACCCACGCAATGACTGTTACAGAAGAGGCAGTCATTCAGTCCATTCAGGGGGATGTGAAGGTCCCACTGTGATAAATGCAAGTCTTTAGCAGAAGCTGGACTCCCACTCTGGATGAAATCAGAGGTATTCATAGTCAGTTACCAATAATGCCCTGATCACCTTTTGATTAGCCCAAGTGCCACTCCAACACTGGTTATACTCCAGGAAGACCTGGAACTCAGATCCATTAAGCCATTTCTGACTCATCTGGGCCACACTAAATCTGAAGCACTGTGCAATGTGGGGGAGCGGTGTTGCCTTCATTATAAACGATGCAGCATTGGATTTTCAAGTAAGTCTAAGTGTTTCTATTGTTTTTAAAATGACATATGTCCAGTTATTTAGAAAAATTACAAAATACAAATGCCCGTGTTAATTTAGCTAATCTTAGACATTACATTCGACAACATAGAAAAGCCAGAAGATCTCCAGTTATAAGCACAAAACAAAGGAAAGTTATGGATCACTAACTTTTGTCACTAATCCATTTTCTTTTTTAAATCACTTCCCCTTATGACCTTGCTCAGCTGGTATTTACATCGTGCAAGACTTGTCTGCTGGACCCTGGGAAAGTGGGGCAGGTCCTACAGTAGGGTTTGTTTTTGGAAGAACAGCAGGTTTCGGCCTAAGGGCTGGGGGCTTCAGCTGCACACCCATTCTGGGTGCCACCATGGGCTTGAAAGTACTCATTGTGTCACTGGAGGAGCTAGTGCTACGTCGAATCTGAGGCTCGGAGCTCCTGAGGGTGACATTGTGCAAAGGGCTGAGAGATTCTGTAGAAGTGGCAGGGGTAGGAGAGTTCTTCACTTGTTCCAAGGTATCTAGCACCACATCAGGCGCATGCTTTGCTGTACTCTGTCTCTCGAGTTCTCGGAGTTCATTCAAAGCAGTGTTCATTGTCTCTTCAATATCCTGTTGAAAAACAAATTGATAATGGCTACTATATACCGAAATCCACATACTTAATTTAAAAGAAAACAAGCCAGTAAAGAGTATGAATGCTTTAACTTCACAGACTGTAGAATGTATAAACATCATGGCATCTCATGCGATTAACTTGGCTTTAAATGTTCTGGAGTCCAAGATACAATGGCTCATGGAACCTTATATAAAACATGTGTCATCCTAAGTTACTAGGCAGCCTTCAGATGGTCTTGACCTTGCATACCAACTTACTGACATAGAATTCTATTTCAACTCATAGGAAGGAATGGCTTAAATTAAATACTCCAACAATTTCTCAAGAAATGAACAGTAATAGGAAGGGAAAATCAGGCTTTTCTTCAACAAATAATTTTTGAGCACTTGGGTAACTGTCAGAAGTTCTTAAAAATTCAGTTTAAACCTTCTTCTGATGCCAGTGTCCAGTGAATTTCAATGGATATAGTATCCATTTTTAAATAATACAGTGCATGTTTATTTTAAAATGCCACAATAATGAGGTGGCACTACTGGCATCTGGTGGACAGATGCCAGTCATACCAGATATCTCCCACGTCTACATGCAGTGAATTGTTCTGCATCTTCCTCTGCTTTTGAATGTCTTTTCCAGGCGTGTATACAGGTGAAATCTGTTTGTAATAAACTAGAACACAGAACCTAATTCTTAAAAACTTAAAATAACTTTAACTGACCTATACTTGTGTATATTTATGCAGTAAAATGTGACATTTCAATACATGTGTATAACTTGTCATCACTGACTGAAACCTAAACACTTATTTCTTTTCATTGGTGATATTTAAAATATTCTCTACTAGCTATTTCAGTATATATAATATCATCAGCCATAGCCTGCTGCTGGTGCTATAGAACTAGAAGTTATTCTTTCAAACTGCAGACCTGTAACTGTTGTCCTTTCTGCAAACTATTTCCACCATTCTGTCACTCATATTCCCTATTTTACTTCATCCTTCTATGGGATCACCTGTTTTGCATCTATGTTCATCAGGGATATTGATCTGTAATTATAAATTGTGTTGTCTGCCTTTTGTATCAGTACACATGGAATAAATTTGGAAGAATTTCTTCCTCAATTTTTTTGCAGGAACTTGAAAATAATTAGTATTTGTTTTTTTAAATGTTTGGTAGAATTCAGAAGACAAGCTACCTGGTCCTTAGCTTTTCTTTGACGGGGAACTTTAATTACAGTTTCAGTCTTGTTATACTTGTTATGGGCCTGTTTAGACTTTTTATTTCTTCATGGTTCAATCTTGGTGGGTTATATGCATCCAGGAATTGATCTATTTTTTCCAGGTTTTCCAACTTGTTGGTAAATAGTGGTTTATAAAAGTCACTAAAACTCCTTTCTGTGGGACTGGTTACAATGTCTCCTTTTTGTTTTTGATTTTATGTGAGCCATCTTTTCTTCTTAGTCTAGCTTGTTGATTTTATCTTTTCAAAAAGTGAACATCTTTCCTTGCTATGATTTTTATTATTTCTTTTATTCTGAATTTACATTTGGTTTGCTTCTGCTTTTCTAGTTTCTTGAGTTGCATTGTTAGGCTATTTGAATTTTTTTTTTTTTTTTTTTTTGTGAGACAGGGTTTCACTATGTAGTTGAGACTGATCTGGAACTTAATATGTAGACCAGGCTGGTCTCAAACTCACAGTGATCCTCCTGTCTCAGTGCTGGGATTACAGGCGTGCGCCACCACGCCTGGCCTGAAATGTTTTATTTTTTGGATGTAGGCATTTATTGCTATAAACTTCTCTCTTAGTACTGTCTTGCCATATCCCACAGGTTTTGGTGTGCTGTGTTCCTATTTTCATTTGTTTCAAGACATTTTTGAATTTCCCTAATAATTTCTTCATGGATCCACTGGTTATCCAGACCCTTGTTGTTTAATTTCAATATTCTGGATGAGAATACTTGCTACCTTTTATCTTGTTGTTGGTTTCTAGTTTTATTCTATGTGCCCAGAGAAGACAGAAAATATGGTTAAATTTAAAAAGACATTTGTTTGTTGAGACTTGTTTTGTGGCCCAACACATGATTTGTCCTGGACAGTATTCCATGTGCTGATAAGAAAAAAATGTGTGTTCTGTAGCTGTTGGATGAAATGTTCTGTAAACACATTAGGTCCATTTGGTATCATTTAAATCTGATGTTTTTTGTTGACTGATCTGTCCATTTTTGGAAGTGGGGACTGGAAGTATTGGAGACTATGTCTTCCTTTAGCAGTATATATATGGATGGTCTGGTGTTAGGGCCATCTATACTTATGATTGTTATATTTCTGCTAATTTGTCTAAGAAAAATTTTATATTTCCTTCATTTTTGAAGCTTGTCTGGAAGCTTTTATTTTTCTTCAGCATTTTAAATATTCTCTCCTATCTTGCAAGGTTTCTTCTGCTGAGAAGTCTGCTGTCAGTCTAATGAGGATTCCTTTACATGTGACTTAATGTTATAATGTGCCTTGGAACAGACCTCTTTGGGTTGAGTCTAATTGGGGTTCTCTGAATTTCATGGATATGAATGTCCATACGTCTCTCATGACTTGTAAAGTTTTCAGGTATTATTTCTTTAAATATGTTTTTTGTATTTTTCTCCATTTCTTCTCCCTCTGGAGCTTCCTTTAAAATGAATATTTATTCATCTGACATCCCATAAGCTTTTTCACTTTTTATTATTGTCATTTTACTGTTTAATTCAAAGAACCTGCCTTCAAATTCAGAAATTCTTTCCTCTATTATTTCATTTCTTGTTGTAGCTCTCAATTTTATTTTTTATTCTATTCATTGAATTCTTTAGCTGTACAACTGTTTGGTTTTTTTCTTTTTTAACAATCTGTTGACTTTCTCATTCAGATCATGAATTGTTACTCTGATTTCACTGAATTGTTATTTTCTTTTAGTCTCACTTGCTTTTTTAATATCATTATTTTGAATTTTTAGGCATTTTGTAAATTTGCTTTATTAGAGTTTGCTACTGGAGAATTACTGTATTCCTGTTCTCAGCAACTTTTTTTCTTGGTCCTTTGTGTTCCTTTTCTTTATTCTTATGTTAATATCTGTACATCTAGTGCAACAGTCATCTTTTCCAATTTTATAGATTTTTTTCAAATCTGGGTATCATGTATTATCTTTGATTCTGGATAGATACAACAGTGTGATTCCTGTGCAGTTTCTTCAGTTATAATCCGTGTCAGAAATGTCTGGTTATATCACTGGCCTAGATTTCAGGTGTTTGTGACTGCAGTGAGATCATACAGTCTTGCTAGAGGAAGGGCCATCACCTGACTCACTGGCCAGGATGGGTGCAAATAGGCACTGTGAGCTGACAGCTGCTGATAGCAGTCTTTTTAGTGGGCAAACTGCCATTTGGTTGGCTGTTGGGCTGGGCTTTGGGATATTTGGACACTGCAGGCTGGGCAATTGCAGTGAATTTACCAAGGAGGAAGTCCTGTGCCTCGATGTCGGTTGAGCCATGGTGGGTTATGTGTGGGTGTTGCAGGCAGTCTAGTTTTACAGTAGGTTATCATGAGGAGGACAGGTATGCTGCCTGCCTGGCTATTAGTCCAAATGTAGATGGATATGTTCTACCAGCTGTGTGTTAGCTTCTGCTTGGTACAAGTCCACTTGTTCCTGGGGGTGGAAGCACAGTGTGGGTTTAGAAACTAGGATCTTGGCCTTTCTGCTGGGCTTAAGCTCTGAGCAACCCAGCCTGAGGTGCTATAGCTACTCAGCATAATGGAATGATAGCAAAGACTCAAAAATGGAGCTGAATACACTCTAGTGGTGGTTCTAGTTTCAAGATGATGCAAAGCTGTAGCAATTTAAGTCATGGAGGGTGTATAATAAGAACTTTTACTCTGTGGCAGTACACGCTGGACAATTCTTCCAGCTGTAAGAAACTGTAAGGACTGTTAGGAATAAAAGAAGTCTTTCTAGGCTCTGCATTGATCTGAGTAAGGGACATAGTACGGAAGAGGCAGGATATATTTCTCTCCTCTCTCTGGTGCTGTCTTGCCTTTTCATGTTCTACAGGGAACACATGACTTCCCTTCTACTCTCTATTGTATGCCAAATGGATTTCAGTTGTTTCATTCTTTATTGTGGTCACTTTTTAAGGCAGGAACAAGTGACAGGCAACTCTATTTTACCAACTTGCAATTCTGTTTTTATAATGTGAAAGTTGTCAGAATCCAATGGGAATCATTTTTGTTAAGCCCTAACCAAAAATAAAAAGAAGCTGGGAGGCTGTAAAGGAGAGATTCTTGTTTATGTGTGCCTATAACAAGAACTGTTCACAAATACTCTGTCAGAACCATAACTGTGCACAAAGGCCACTACAATCTTATACAAAAAAATACTTTGCAAGGACATCTGTCCAGCAACTGTCAATTCAACCTTGGACTGGTGCCACCTCTCTTGTTAGTCCTTGTAGCCAAGGATAACTACTTCAAAATATAATCTAGTTCCTTTCACCTTTAAAAATGTCCTCTTGCGTCAACCTCTTTGAATATGCCTGTAGTTCACTACAACACACACATTCCCATTGCAATATTCTGCTATTCCCAAATAAATACTATATTTTGGAGAAAGTCTCTCTGATTGTTATTTATTTACAATATAAAAACAAAAATTTTTCATAATATTAAATTTTCCAGGGATGTAGCTGCCGTATATATTATTTCTCGATTTGAACTGTATGACCAAGAGTTGTCCTTCCTTTTGGAAAAAAAAAAATCACATCATTAATGGGAACATCTTTCATGGAGTATAAAGGAACTGAATTAATTCAATACTCTGAAATCAATGTATTATTATTTTTTTTTATGGTACTGAGGACCGAACCTTGGGCTTTTGGATTGAGCTACCTTCCCAGCTCAATTCTTTTTAATTTCTTATTTTGAGACAGGGTCTTGCTAAATCACTAACTTGTAGTCCTCCTTCAGTCTCTGAGTGCCAGAATTATAGCATGTGCTACTATGCCCAGCTCAATGTATGTATGTATGTGTATATGTATATTTGTGTATATGAGTACTGGGGATTGAACTTGGGCCCTTGTGCTTGTGAGGCAGGTGGTGGAACCATTGAGACAAATCCCCAGCCCTCAATGTATATTTTTAATTGTTGCATTTATAGAAAGTCTTTGTGCAGGTGGGATTGTACATACTTGTGTTCTAGTGTAATCAATAACTAATATATGTAGGAATAAATTATAGTATTCCACAGTACAGTAAGGTGACTATAGTTCCCCAAAATTTATTATATAATTAATTAATTAAGGTGCCAGGGATTGAACTCAGGACCTTGTGAGAAGATTTTGAAGGATCCAAACTCATAAGGAAATGGTAATGCTAATTACTCTGATTTGATGAGTATATATTGTATACAGGTATCAAATTATCACACTGTACCCCATAAAAAATTAAGTGAAATATAATTGTTTAATATTTATTTTTTGTTATATTTAGAGCTTTAACTTTTTTTTCAAATTATATATACCATCAATCGTTACTTCAGATCATAGAGGGTAAATTACAAAATATTTGTTTTAAAAGGGTGAAGTGTGCATCATCAGTGAGTAAATGGATAAACAAAATGCGGTACATATATTTCATGAAATATCATTTAGCCTTTAAAAGGAAGGAAATCTTGTCAAATGCTATAACATGTGTATACCTTAAAGACATCATGTCAAATGAAATAAGCCAGTGACAAAAAATTTAAATATTTTGTAATTCCATTTATATGCAGGATTTGAAGTAGTCAAATTCATAGAAACAGAGAGGTGGTAAATGCCAGGGTGAGGGAAAAATGGGGAATTGTCTAATGGGTAGAAAGTTCAGTTTTACAAGATGAAACATTTTTGGGGAGGTATTTCACAAGAATATGAAGATACTTTACTGAACTATACTGTTTGATTTTTGAGACAGAGTCTGGCTATGTAGTTCAGGCTGGCCTTGAACTCACTATGTAGCCCAAGTTGGCTTTGAACTCATAGCTGTCCTGCTTCAGCCTCCCAAGTGCTGGAATTACAGCATATGCTACCATGCCTGGCTGATCTATATTGGTATTGAACTATATATTTTAAGTGATTTTTTAAAAATCACAGTTGAAAAAAGCAGAATGTTATATGAGGTGGGGTAGAAAACCTGCCCTTGAATGATTAAATATCTTCTCCACATTCCTAGGATTTCTTCTACTTCCTGGAGCATAATCCTTACACTACTGCACAATAGTCACTGATTTCCATATCCTTCTTCCCCACTGTACTGCAAGCACTTTGAGGAAGCAGCTACTCTTTTTTGTTAGCACATGGTTGCAATTCATGCAGTTTATAATCATCTTGGGGAGTGGGTGGTTATAGGTGCATGCTGCAGCTTGTTTTCTTTTTATCCTCTTCCTCTTGCCTTCCTTTCCCCGCTCCTGTTTGGGTTCCTGTCTTCTTTTTTATACTCGTTGATGTGATTTGTGTTTGCTCATGTTACAGTACGTAACGTTTATATTGACTGGAGTTATTAGGATCCTGCACATGGCACATTTTTACTCCTCACATCTCCCCTTCTTCTCCTCACTCCTTGCCACTGTTCCCTTGGACCACTTCCCTATTAGAAGAGATCTGTCTCCTTGCCTGTTTTTATCCCTCCTTTATCATTTTCTTTGTACTTTGCCTCACTCAAATGAGAGTTACCGCAAGATATTTTAGCTTTTGTGTTGGGTTTATTTCACTCAACACTGTATTTTCCAGGTGCATCCATTTTCCTAGAAATGCCTCAAACGTGTCGTTCTTTATAGCCTAGTAGTATTAGTATTCCATTATATACAGATAGCACATTTTCTTTACCTAATCATCTGTTGATGGCTAGAAAGCACTACTTTTAAGCTTTTCATCTATAAAACCTATCACAGGACCTGGTACACAGTAAGTGATAAATAAGTTTGTTAAATCAATGAGCCAGATATGATATTAAATTAGTATTCAATAAGTAAATTAGAACATGATGGTCACATATGGATAACGCGTCCTTTAAAAAAATCTCCACTAGGGATTCAACTGATTTGTTTAATAAAAGAATTTGCATGTTTTTGTATGCACACCAGGATGACATGTTCACTTGCCTTTATGGGAAAATGTGAAAACTAGAGATGAAAAGATAAACACAGGACAAAGATGGGAGCCATTTTATGACATCACTTTTCAAGTGATTACTTTCATATGTGATTTCCATTTGCTGCTAAACATATGGGTTTGTTATTTACAAGCATTTCCCCAGAGAGTATGTGTAGAGCCTGGTTTAGCTATTGTTTTTATTTTTATGATTTATAATAAAAGAATTTTTTGGTTCTAGAAACAAAAGCATTAAACAAAACTCATTATGCCTTCCTAATCCCAAGTTCCTAAATATCTCCCTAACCCAAGTGATGTTTCACTTGCTTATTACATACAATGATGTTATGGGTTTCTCAAATCACTAAATTCTGCTATAATCAAATATCACTGTTTCTAAATTTGTCTCAAAGGGACTTACATAGCACTTTAATAGAAAAAACTATAAAGGTCAAAAGCCTTTTTTGATTCTTGCTGAGAAACTATTGTGCACCTAAAATTCATTTAATTTTTAAGAAACACATTAAACTACTCATACAATCTACTTGTAATTTGCTATCCAGAATTCTTTTTTGTTAGGACACTCAAAATAGCTTAGAAATTTGTCCTATCAAGGGCAGGTTTCCTTGGGTGCTTTTTATTAAGAGTAATCAGTCCACCTGTGGAGCTTGCTCAGGTTTGATACATTCAGTTCTCATTTACTCTCTCCTTTTTTTAAAAAAAAAGATCTATCTTGGGGATGGAGATTTAGTTCAGTGGTTCCGCCGACTGCCTTGCAAGTGCAAGGTCCCGAGTTCTATCCCTGGTACCAAAAAAAAAAAATCTATTTTGGTAGTTTTTAAGCTTGAGTACTAGGTGGAAGATGCTTTAGATTACTCAAATATCAAACTGAGTCAACTTATGCTCTGTAATTATCTATAAACATATTTTCTGATGCTATTTAAAAAACCAGAAGGCAAAATAATAGAACAATGGGTAATTTCATTAATACTGTTTTCCTTTGTCAATTCTAATCATTAGAAACAAATTACAGTGCCCCTTTCTATAGTCAGTATTGGGAAGGTAAGATGTGTAGTCTTCAAAAGGTACATAGGCTCCAGTCCTGCTGTTCAAATGGTAATCATTTTTAATCACGTTATTTATTGACTAACCCATCATTTGAACCCAAGTTCAAAGTGTCACATTTATAATTCTGTTTCTGGGCTTTCTATTCTGTTCCATCTCTTTACCTTTTTTCCTAGTTTTGGAACATATTTAGGATCTGCTAGGGTTAGCCCTTTCTCATTCTTCTTTTTCAAAAATATCCCGGCTGTTCACCTGAGATGGGTTTGAATGTCCTAGCTCCTACATTTCTGCCATGTCTCTGTTTGAATGAACATTAAATGAATGAATATAAAAGCTGATATGCACTATGGTCCTTCAAATAACAAATAATTCTTCAAATAAAACTAACAGCCAGGTCTTAAATTACAGAATGAGCCAATGTCCTTTGTGTTTTACTTAGTTGGTTCTATATAAAAACATAGCTATAGAATATAAATCCTTCATGTCACCTTCATCACACCCAGGTATTTAAAATGCAATATTCCATTAAAAGCATTGTACCTGAGCAATTGTCTCTGGGTCCAGTGGCTTGTGGTCATTGAAGCCTGTGTATTGCCCTGATGACGTGGACCTTCTGATAGGTGGACTGTCGATCTTCTTGAGAGAGTCGTGCCGGCTGATATTGGTCAGGCTGCCATGGCCAGGCCGGCGCCTCCTTTCAGGACTGTCATTATTGAGGCCACGGTTCTGCAGCAGGCCACGGGGCTGACCGGCCAGGTTTGGGGACCCCAGGTCAACTGAGGAGTTGGAAAGACCATGTGGGGGATGGAGAGGGCAATGGCCTTCACTGGTCCTGCCAGGACGCCTCAGTGGAGGGGGTGGCTCTCCTCTTTTTCTTTGTCTAGACATCCATAGAAAGAAAGAGAGAAACTAAGAGAGCTTGTCACATTGAGCAGTACTGCAAGGTGGAGCTATCATGGCTCCTCGAAGCCTTTGGAGAAGCAGAGGCCTAGGAGCCTGGTTACCAGACTCCACTTACCTGGCTAAATAGCCATCAGGATGGCGGTCGGTTGGAGAGTTCATGTCCTTGGATGAGGACTTGTCTTCAGTGACTGGGCCACTGCTGGCCTCACTGTCGGCTTTTTGGCTGAGAGTGTCTGAAAACGTATCATCCCTGAAACAGGATAAAAAGTGAGGGTCTTTTGCTAGATGAGTGGAAGCAAAAAAAGGTCTTGCATTTATGTATGTATGTATCTTTATTAATGCACTTTTCATCTAGAACTATTCAGCTCTGTTACAGATAAATTAGAAATTTAAGATATAGAAAAAAGAGTAAAATAACAATCATCTATAGCATCCAGAGACAGCTACTGTTAGAATTTTCTCCTATGCCTGGAATACATATATGACTGTATGAATATAATTATACTTTGGCTGTCTATATTTTAGGTAGTTTAGATATATATGACTCCATGTTATATATACACACACAGTATTTCTTGGATTCTGATCTCATTTTAGTATCTGTAAATTTATGCTAAATCATTACATAATTTTATACATTTTATATAGTATATTTCTCTATCTTGAAAAGCCAGTCTTAGATTGACCATATATTGTCAAATACAAAACTCAAAAAATAGGGACTATATGGTATACATTATTTTGTAACCTGTTTCTTTCACTTCTTTTTTTTTTTGGTACCAAGGATTGAACTCGGGTCCTTGTGCTTGACAGGCAAGTTGCAGAATCACTGAGCTAAATCATCTCCGGCCCTCTTTCATTTCTTATGCCATTTTTCCATGTCCTTAAATATTTTTGAAATTAGAGCTTTCTTATCAGCCTAATTAAGATAACAGCAAAAAATCCTAGAGGTGATTGCCTTAGACTGTAAGATATTCCTCGTGGGAACCTGAAAATGAAAGAGAAGGCAGACATGCAGAGGCCAGAGCTGCTGTTTGTGCGACTGCCACTGTCACTTCAGCTCTCAGCTATTCTCTGCAGAAATTATTTTTCTGTGAAATTGAAAATTCCAAAAGATGTCTTCCACTTGTTGTTGTTCTAACCATCTTGGCAGTTTCAGCAGTGACTACCTGCTGGTCCCGAAGTACTTTTGGCATAGAGCCAGCAGAAGGTAAAGAATTGGGTCCAGCTCAGAAGTTTTCTCTTTGTAACCTCTTCTGCTCTTTTTGACCAAAATCAGTTTAAGAACAATAGGTACAGTCCTCTATTGAGAGCACACAGGCAACTGAAGTTGGGACTACTCACATATCCTGCACCACTATGTACTGGTGAGGCACAAGCCCGTCAATCCCGTTGTGTCTGCCTTCCCACCAGTCCTCGGATGCTCGGTGATACAGCAGCAGGGAGGCGCCCTTCTTGAAGGACAGTTCTCTGGCAGACCGCCCAACATAGTCAAACTTGGCTATTGCTTCTATTGGCTCACATTCTACAAAGAACATAACAAAATGGAAGGGATAGGGTTGTTAGAAAGGTAAGATAGACTATCGAAAAATGAAGCTTTGGAAACAAACAGGCCGTTTTAATATCCAGACTGAACAGAGTAATAAAAAAATCATTGAGGAGGAGGAAACAGAGTCAGTTAAAAGATATACAGAAAAACATTCTCTGGCTGTTAGCAGTTTTTCAGGCAAAAAAAATTGTACATTATATCTTAATTTCCAGTTTCTCACCAGAGATATGACAACAGTCTAATAAAAATATGTCAACTCTGCAATATAATATATACAATTTTTCCTTGGTTATAATATCCTCCACAGTTGCTCCAATATTTTTTGACACTGACAGAGTTCCCTTGCAACATATTAATATGGTTTATAACATGGAAAATCACCATCCCAGAAAACACTAGGACAGTTGTGCTTTATTAGCTTATTTTTAAAAATCAAGTAAAATTACCAAATAAATACTATTTGAATATCTTTAATTTTCTCATGCTTTCCCCCCCATCATTTTTTCAAGCTACCAGCAAAACTAATAACTTTTAATTATAAATAATTATAAGTAACTATAAATTTTGGATCTTAATTATGAAACAAGCATACCTTAAACTGTCCTCTACCCAAATTAAAAGATTGGATTAAAAATTATATTTTGTTGGGCTGGGGAATTAGCTCATTGCTACCTGCCTCACAAGTGCAAGGTCCCGCGTTTGGTACCTGGTACCCCCTGCCCCCCAAAAAACCTCCAAAAAACAAACAAAAAAATGTTTTGTAGTACCTAAAAAATATTCAAGACAAAAACAGCAAGTGAAAGAAGTCAAATCTCAAAAGTTTGCATACCACAGAATTTCATTTACGTAGCATTCTTCAAATGACATAATTATGGAAATGGAGAGTAGATTAGTGGTTGGCAGGGGTTGTGGTTGGGAAGATGACAGAGGAAGTGGCTGTGGGTATAAAGGGGAGTAAAAGGAATTTCTGGAACTATTCTTCATCTTGACTATGACAGTGGTCACACAAATCTGTACATGTGATAAAACTCTAAGTAAACATTCACAAATGAGTGCATGCAAAACAGGTGAAATGTGAATATGGTGGATGGATTGTATCATCAGTTTCCTGGTTGTGGTATCATACTACAATTATGTACGATATTACTACTGAGAAGGGCACGTGGGTGGGATCTTTCTATATTGTTTCTTATAGCTACATATAAATCTAAAATGATCCTAACAAAAAGCTAAAAAATAAATAAGATATTGAACTCTGAGCCTGGAACTGGAATTCCACTCTGACTTAATTGTGAGCAAATATGAAGGCAAACAAGAGGACAAAACACTGCAAGAGATGCTTGTGATTCAGCTTATTGTAAAAAAGGTCCTCAATACAAGCAAGGCCTTGGGATGCTTCCTTTCCTCTCCGACCAACATGTCTTCATCCCCACTATTAACATACGTAAGTAAGCTTCTGATCAATAATAAGCAGAAATCAAAAGGGCCAAAATAAAGGGTAAATGTTTATATAAATATATCTTCCTCATTTGCTAAAAATAGTGCAGGTATTAATTTCAAAATACTCTGGATTATGTGCAATATGACTAAAACCTATGCATCAAAATCCTCGGGAAACTTTTCTATTTCCCTTGGTAATAAATATTTCTATTTAAAAGATTTTATTCTGCCCAAAGTTTACTGTAATATCTTCAATATATGTTGCACTTATTTCTTTTACACTGATTTTAATTTATTTCATTTGGGCTGATTCCAAGATTTAGCTATTACAAACTGTGCTGGTATAAACAAGGGTATGCATATATTGCTGCAGTATAATTCTTTTAATCCTTTTGGGAAGATACCAAGAAGGAGACTAAATTAAATGGAACCTCTAGTTTTAGTTTTCTGAGGAATCTTTACACTGATTTCCACAGTGGTTACCCCAGTCTACACCTCCAACAGTGAAGAAGGGTTCCCTTTCCCCCATAGCCCCACCAGCATTTGTCATTGGTTGTTTTTTTTATGGTCACTATTCTGTCTGGAGTAAGATGAAATCTCAGTGTTGTCTTAATTTGCATCTCGTGAATAACCAGTATATTGAACATTTTTTCATATATTTATATGAAAAAAATTATGTATATATTTATATGCCATTTGTACTTCATCTGAGAAGCATCTATTCATTTTAGTGGCCATTTCTGGATTGGGCCTTTAAATTTGTGTGCTGATTTTTTTGAATTCTTTATATATTCTAAGATATTAGCCCTTTGTCTGAGGAACAGCTGGCAAAAAGATTTTCCCACTCTTTGGGTTGTCTCTTCACTCCATTGGTTCTTTCTTTTGCTGTGCAAAAGCTCATTAATATGGTAAGATGACATTTGTCGGCTTTGTATTATTTCGTGAGTGATTGGGATTTTGTTCATAAAATCTTTGCCTATACCTACATCTTCAAGGGTCCTATCCATTCTATCTTCCAACACCATGACTGAGTAGGGTTCCTCCCAGGGATGCAGGATGGTTCAACATACGCAAGTCAATAAATGTAATAAATGTTATCAACAGAACAAAGCACAAAAACTGCATCATCATCTCAATAGATAAAGTGTTTGACAAAGTCCAGCACTCATTCATGATAAAAAAAAACCCTACAGAAAATTGGAATAGATGGTCTTTATCTCAATCTGATAAAAGCCATCTATGGCAAACCAACAGCCTACACCAATACTAAATGGTCAAAAACTGAAGACTTTCACTCTAAAATCAAGAACAAGATAATGATGTTCACTGTCACCACTCTTACTCAACATATTTCTGGAAACTTTAGCCAGAGCAATTAGACAAGAGAAAGAAAAATAAAAAGAATGAGGATAGGAAGGGAATGTTGTACTTATATATAATAATTGTCTTAGTTACTTTCTTCTTGCTGGAACACAATACCCAACAGCCAGAACTTAAGGGAGAAGTTGTTTTTTTGACTCACATTTCTTAAGTTTCAACCATGTGTAGCAGGCTTAAACACAGAAATGGCATGCTGGTCAATGGCTGTTCACTTTCTGATGACCAGGAAACAGAAAAAGAAGGGAGGAGCCACAAAGGGAGATATACTCTGTAAGGTCAGGCCTCCAGTGATCTGCCTCTTTTTTAAAAATTAATTTTACTAGGACATTCTTGAAATACATAAGGATCACATTCATCAGCCCTCTTCTGACCAGACCCTACCTCCTAGGAGCAAGTCAGCTACAGTCTCCAAAATTTAATCAGCTTCCAAAAGCCCTGCCTATGGGTGCATGAGGCCTTTGGGGGACACTGTTGATTTAAACCATAACAGAATGAGAAATTCTTAGACAGGTAGACTTGTTTCTTGCTGTGTACATTCAAGATTCTCTGGTATATATCAGGTAAAAACATAAAATCAACAATGATCAAAAAAGCTTAGTTTTGGGCCAGGGATTTTAGCAAAGTGATTCTGCCGCCTGCCTCATAAGTGTAACATCCAGAGCTCGATCCCTGCCCCCTCCAAAGGCACTGGGTAAATTTCAGCAGAATATTTTAGAAACAAAGAAAAGTGCACTATCTTTTTGCTTGTGGATAATGTCTGAGGTAAGCAATATTTCATAATGCAGTACCATAATACTATAATCTGCATGTAAAATGTGTAAGAATAATTTTTAAATACCTCATTACCTAATGTTCCATCTTTGGAACACCCATAACTTTAGAACATAATACATTTTTTTCTCTTAAAATTCTTGTTCCTTGGGCCGGGCGTGGTGGCGCATGCCTGTAATCCCAGCACTCAGGAAGCTGAGGCAGGAGGATCGCTGTGAGTTTGAGACCAGCCTGGGCTACACAGTGAGTTCCAGAGCAGTCTGAACTACATAGTGAGACCCTGTTTCAACCCCTGCCCCCCAAAAAAATTCTTGTTCCTTGAATTTTTCTAGGTAACATATGTGAATAGATGGATTGATTATACAACAGTTAAAGTTTTTTAGTGATTGAGTATATTATATGTTCACACTGGTATTCTTCATTAATACTATCATATTAAAACAACACAAATGACAGTTTGCTTCTGTATGTCTGCTTCAAAGAGGAGGGGATAAATTTGCAGATAAAGAAGCAATTTTGATTGATCTGAGCTGACAGCTAAATTTGTCCTTGAAGACAGAGGAAGAATAAAGAAAAATTTATTTAAAATAACTTTATGGGCTGGGGATGTAGCTCAGCAGTACAGTGCCTATCTGGCAAGCATGAAGCTCTGAGTTCAGTTACCAGTAACAAAAACAAAAAAACAAAAACAAAAGCAAAACAAAACAAACACACCAAAAAACCTTCATGACATAATTTGCAAGTTCTTATGTGAACACATTCACATACAGGGGTACCTTGGTTCATGAATGCTTTTGTTTACAAACAGTTTGGTTTGTAAACAAAAGCATTTGGTAAAATTTTATTTTTGTTTGTAAACTACATCAGGTGACAAATATGACTGTGGCCGTCTTTCTTGCACAAACACAAACATAGCCATCTTTTCCAAACTCATGGAACAAATTAAGTTCATGCCATTTATTTATATTTGGTTTTACTAAAATAAAAATTTTAAAAAAGATATCTGCACATGATATAGTACACAATCTATATATGTGGTGTCAAAGAGAAACGAAGATAGAATCACTAATTTTCTTTAGTGTTATTTAGTGATGTGCTGTCAGTGTTGATCATGGACTAGTTAAGATGATTTAACAGTATACACATATCAAAATTTAATAATCACGACTTCTATAATCACTATTTCTTGTGTTACTGTTTTTTAAAACAACTAGCAAGAGGATTATCTGACTCTATTTTATTGAGAGGTGGGCAGATTATGAAAGAATGACCAAATAAATCAGAAGAATATTTTATTGGCAATCCTAGTATATCAACTAGTAATTCTGAGCAATTTTATTATTTTGACTCTTTCTACTCCCCTGAGAGCCATTTCACAGTCAAGT